TATTTCATTATTATTCGAGTTTTAACATAAATATTTTGACATAAGTGTGGTATGTAGAAATAAGAATATCAGTAATATATATGTTAAAAAAATAGTATTAAATGTATATATATATATATATATATATATATATATATATATATATATATATATATATATATATATATATATATTGTAATAAATAAAAATTCATTCAATACTAATTATTTCTCGATTCTTTTTAAGAAATTTTAATTCTATTTATTTGGAAGCGTACATATATAAAAAACGTATGTGTCAGTATAGTTTTAATATATTAAAAAAGAATGTTCAAATGTTTTATACACATAAATAAATTGAAAAATATAAAAGAAAAAAGTCTAAATATCTATGAAATTTATATTTCTGTTTTTGATAAATGGACATAATTCACACAAATAAATTATTAATGCACATAAAACGAATAAAAAATATGAAAAATCAAATATAGATTAAAAAATTATCGACCCTAATTTATTAGTATTTTATTTTTATAATAATTATAGTAAATTTGAAAGTTATATTAAATTTATTTATTGAAATTTATTACAATTTGTATGTAAACGGATATATTAAATTATTAAAAGCAACGATGGATTGAAAAGAGTTTATTTGACGTAATTAATATATTTATTTTTAGTCAGGTTATAAAAATTATATTAAATGTATATTAAAATTTTATAAAGTAATTTGTAGTTTGCTTTTTATAAATATTTTTTTTTTTTTTTTTTTTTTATATATTTTCAGAATAAATCATATTATCTACTACTATAATCCATTCTGTGCATATGTATTATATATTATACAATATTATATACAATAGTATTACAAAATCATAAAGAATTTACTATTTTCCAATAATATTAAATTAATTGAATTATATTAAATAAAACACGAAATTTATTACGAGATTTTGTTTTTCAATATTAAGGTGACTATGAAAGAGCTTACTATTTCCAAACTATAGAGGGAAAATGTATAATGCGAAATTGTTTTAGAAAGTTGTGCATTAAATTTTGACTTTGGTTTTGTGAATTAATTGGTTTATAATGTTTATTAATATTCAAGCTCCAATTATATAAATTTCAATACAAATAATTAAAATTTATATATCTATATTAAACAATATGGCCAAATATACTGCCTGTTTTCTTATTTAATTTGGAATTTATTATTTAACAAGAATATATATTAAATTTAACAATATTTTGTGTAGAAACATATAAATCACATAATAATTTGAATTTAAAATTTCTAAATATAATGATTTTAATTTATTAAACATTCCACATTGTAGCAGATTTCGAGTGCAATGAGTATTTCTAATTTTATAAATTACTGATCTATTCTACAAATTAAGATCAATATAATTAAATTAAAGCAAATATATTAGGTGTAGCCAGCAATCTAATTATGTTCAATCGAATTCGTATTAATTACGAATTAAAAATGAATAATTAGATAATCATTAGTTAATCCATGATTATATGTTAGGTTGAGAATATTATAATATTATATTGGAATTGGTGAGAGAAACTAGTGCTTAAAAAATCTTTTTCATCCAGAGTCACTAAAATGAAATTCAACATTCGTCTAAGAGAGAAACTAAAACTTCGACAAATCCTTATCGGCCTATGTTGCAAATTGTTTTCCTCCTATTACGTATTTTCAAATAAATATTTATGCACACATCTCAACTTGATTTTCAATTTCATTCATCTTATATTCGCGTCACGTTTCTTCGAGTCTATCAACTCTCGCATTCGGATACATTCTCATGCATGGCTTAGATGATAGTCGAAGGAGTTTTATATCTTTACTTTTAAATCGAACTGTATATATGCACGCATGAGTGAGAACTTGTACACAATGAAAGAAAAAAATTTTATTTTTTTTTTTTGATTATTATTGGCGGTCAACAAGAGCTTAGGATTCGAACGTTTTATTTAAAGACTCGGCAAGTTCATCGTTTTCACATATGTTTTTTAAAATGAGTTTTATGGAGTTCAGTTTAGCGTTAATTAATTTTTTCATTCGTATTTTCATATTCAGATGTATTTCATCTGTTTAAATAACTGTAGCGTATTTTTTTTTTTTTTTTTTTTACATATAAATTCATCGATTCAAATATTTTTATCAATAATAGAAAAAAGGATATCGTATACTGAAAGTAATGTATAATGCAATAACATGTATTAATCAATGAAAATCGTTTTATAGTTAGAAAAAAAAAAAAAACAAACTATTTGTTATCATTGAGCTTATAATAGTATACATAAAATTGCACTTCGTTCTTTGCTTTATAATAAATATAATTAATTCTATGTAGCCGAATGACTGAAAATTTACAAACTGTATTGGATAGGATGAAATATCTAGCACGATTTTTCCTTTTGTCACTGGAATTTATAATGTCGAATCGAAAAAACAACGACCTAAATTTCTATAATATATTTACAGTTTCATCATGATAGATGTTTAGAACGAGAGTAATTTACGAATTAATAAAAAACATTAAACTTCAATTAAATTATTTCGTTACATTTTTATTAAAAATGTAATTAATATTATATCTTACGATATAAAATATACTAAATACGTGCATTTTCAAGACTGTAGTTTAAACAATCAAAAACCTTTCTAAACAAGATGGGAATTAATATTGATTTATTAATAATGATCATTTGAAAACGTTTCAATAAAGACTTTGCCAATAAGTATTTAAAATGTCTTCACCAACAGCATTCTTCGGCATTCTATTGTATTTTCTATTTGTCTTGATTAATATTATTATTATTTTAAATCAAATATGACTCTTCGTTAAAAATATTGGTGATGAATTAAATATATTTAACTAGCCTGAAGTTTCTTCTCATCCAATTATTATTTCATATTGCTATATTTCATAAATTTAAAAGTCTTTTATTATAATTGTGTGTAAAAAAAATAAAAAGATGATTGTTCCAAGGAAAAAGTGAGAGCGATGGCGCATTAAAAGAAAGTATGAGTGCTTGTCCCCCACAGTTGCAAAGATGAGCAGTTTCATTTACGTCTGCTTCCACAGTTTGTGTGAATACATAAAAAGAGTGAGAAACTAAATAAGTTGGTATAAAAAGCTAAGAATCTCCTGGTAAACTTGCAGTTAGAACTGGGTCTTCATTTCACATCACACTTGATAAAATGATCTTAAAGGTATTGACAGAATTTTTTATTTAAATGGTCAATGAAAGATATATCGACAGTTTTTATAATTTGAAGAATAGAATGAAAAATAAGTTGAAAATTTAAATGAAGATTTTTCTGAAAGGTTATGGATTAATGTGAGTAGCTGTGATAAAATCGTCTATTATTGATTTAGGAATCATTAAAGACTCATTTAGTTTCCTTTTTATTTTTTAATTGTTTACATTTGTAACATATTTCTGTAATTGTAGTTTATTGCAAAACATGCATTCTCTCATACTCAATATGGGTACACATTCATTTGATACTACATTTAGTAAATGTTTGACGAAATAGAATATTCTATCCTGAATGTTTTCATTGATGTATAAATATATAAATAAATAAATTTATATATATAATAAATTTCTATAGAAAACAATTATACACAATCTTCAATTAAATTTTTGCAAAATAAAAATGAGAGAATAATCTAATTATAAGGAAAATTTCAGTTACTATTGTGAGTGAAAATTGATTTTCATTTAATATTTCTTGAAAATACTACAAAAAATCTTCTTTTTTCTTTTTAATATAAATTTAATGTTTCAATTGTATAATACAAAAATTTCTGAAATTTTCAAAATAAGTTTTCGAAAATTAAATTGTAATATTATGTTACTTTAATTATGGTGTAACTGATTTGATTATGCTAATCTCATAATTAAAAAAGTAAAATTTATAATAATATAATCATACTATATAAATAGCTTCAAAATAGTATATTATCAATGAGAATTATTAATAGACTGCATAAGTTATATGCTTTAATGAATTTAAATTTCATTTACAAATAGAATATTGCTTTTTTAAGTAGTTGTGAAATAATTGAATGTGGAATAACAAAATTTTGTAATTTTAGAAAAGTCATATACTTAACATAATAATGACAAAGCTAGTATTTTAATTAAATATATTAATAAAAAACATCAGACGCAATTTCAAAATATTAAAGTATAAGAGTAACAACAATTGGTATATTATTCGTGAAAATATATTGCAATCATAATTTAAATAAATGTAAAAATGAAATAATGTTTTTTTAATATAGTCAGATAATTTCTTGGAAATGCTTGGAAAATTTTTAGATATCTTTTGACAAAGAAAAGATATTGTAATATTACATATCAATTAATATCTTATAAACTTTGATCGGTTATTTCTAAAATTACATAAAATTCTAATATGTATTATTCATTAACAATTTAATTATATTATAGAATAATAGTTTATATATAATATACGTAATATTGAATCGATAAATCAGTTTAATTAAATATAATAAGATTTTTTATAAATTGTCCATTGAATGAAAATCCTTAATTATTAATCTAATAGTGTTGAATTACGTAAATAAGGTGAAGTACCGCCAAACATAAGGAATTATGTTGAATATGCATAGGATGCTTCACATTAATTATTGAAGTTTATCATAATTATTATTAATTTTGCATAAAATTGATATTGCATGATTTAAAATAAAAAAGCTAATTATTTGTATAAATTTAATTGTTGGGATGTTAAACAAATATACAATAAATAAGTTTAATAGATATATATTCGTAAAATAAACTTATTTTGATTTAACTTAAAAATAAATTATTAAAAATTAATTTAAAAATACTAGTATATAATTTTTTAGGAATATAAATATGCTTTTTCTTTGAGATTGGAGCACCACAAATTTAGCATATTACAATCCGCATTTTATCCAAAATGTTTACAAAAATTTTAATGCTATAAAATGTTTATGAAAAAAAATGTATTTACATAGAGTATGCGTGAAACAATTTATTAATGTATATATAGTACACAGTAATTAATTTGTAATACTTTGTAGTTGATAAAGCATTTGCTGTTTATCGTCCTCATTCTGGTAGGCTGCGCAACAGCAGGACTATTATCATATGGAAAAGACGGCCTATGCGATGATCTGCATAATCATCATGCACATCATCATAAATTGTCAGTCGCGAATTCATTTATGCATTTTCACGGACCGGTGGAAGGGCCGGTGTACGAGGTAAAAGTACCGTACGTTGATCCTCGCCACTATTTACCTCACGACGAACACAATAAACTTACTCACAATCAAGAGCACGATGATTACGTGATGGACTACATCGCTCATCCCAAGTACGAGTTCTCCTATAGTATTGAAGATCATGAAACTGGTGACTTTCACAGTCAGAAAGAGTCGCGGGATGGTAAGTAACAGCACAATTAAAATTATAACAGATATAGGAGTGGAGAACTTTCATATAATCATACGCCTGAGATTTTACTAAATATCCTTTAAAATTAAGTGTATTAGGTCAAATCTGTCAAACAAGTGCTCGTAAACTGGTAATTACATTGCTGTGAATATTTATTGTAGAATTTTACACACACACTTCGATATTTAATCGCTTGTGAAGGCTCATCCTTTTTTGTTTAAATTTAAGTGACGTTAAAAACAAATGTACTACTCCGAGCTTTCCCTCATAAATCTTTCTTTTTATAAAATAAATGGTTGTGAACTCATTTGTAAATGTTTGCTATTCTAGAAATTCATTGAAAATGTTTAGTCTAAAAAATATAAAAAGCGGTTCGTCATTAATATTTTAAACAATTGAAATAAAAAGGAAAATATTTTTTGTATTCCATATTTTCATTTGATATATCTTTGATTTATGATTAATTTATGTTTTATTTTACAATTTAGACATACGATATATAATTTATTTATACATCAAGTTTCATAAAGATTTAATTGAATTGTCGAAAATCGAGGAAAAAATTGATAAAAAACATCATACGCCTGTATTTATACAATCATTTTTATTGACAATTGTTTGTAAAATATTTTTTCTATTTAATTATAAAAATCTCTCTACTGATCGTATATAGCTATATATATATATATATATATATATATATATATATATATATATATGTATAAAATTGGAATATATAAAATAATAAAATGTACGTAAGTACGTACATGTATTTAAAAGGAATTATTTCTTATAGGAAGCAATGTATCTGGCGAGTATAGTATGATGGAACCAGGTGGTAATGTCCGCGTAGTGAGTTATAAAGCGGATCAGGATGGGTTTCGTGCAGTAGTCCACACCTCTGTTAAGAAGGGTCACTCGCATAATACGTTTCCTACATGGAACTACAATGAACAAATTTATCATAGCCAAGCATCATCACCGAAATTGGAAAAAACTCATACACTTAAGACATATAGCGACGAGAGCAAAAACATTCATCAACTGCAGCACGAAAAATATCGATCTGAAGTTTCAGTAAATGGAGAAATGAGTTCCTATTGATATTGAATATTGTTTAAATAAAGTTTTACCACTCCTTGATTTATTATAATACTTATTGAAGGAACTGATTTCATACGATGTTAAATATACTTTACCTATACTATTATAAACTGTTATTATATCCATTGGGCATGTTTATAATGAATAAGTAAAAATTATATTATCATGGTATTACTATTGTTATATATATATATATATATATATATATATATTTATATATTTATATATATTTCTTGTTCATATTCTTTATTATTATTATTATTTTTATTATTATTAACATTACATGTTTGTCTTGTGCTAGTATTATATTAGTTTGTTAACTTTGACCTGCAAAAAGATTAATTTTTATGAAAATCGTTAAACTATAGAATTTAATAATACAAAAAAAAAAAATTTGTAACACAAAACATGTAAAAACAATAATTTTGTGATACACTACCATATTGCATTCAATGAAAAATCTGTGGGGTCCAAAGATTTAGATATTTCATAGTTATTTAATGAACATAATTTTCAATATATTTTTTAACAAAACAATTGTTATAAATTGATATAAATTACAAACATTATGTACAAATAAAATAATTAAATAATTAAATAATTAAATATAGAAAATTAAATTTTTATTTTTAAAAATTAAATACATTTTTATTCAAAAATATTAATAAAAATCAAATAAGATATTTATATTATACTATTGTGAATAATTAAAAACAACATAAGTGTATGATCAATTATAATAATGTCAATTACTATTATCGCATAAATGTATTGAGTAGCATTTATAATACTCAGCTACTGGGACCGCAAAAGTGCAAATAAACATACAAATGTTTATTTTTTCTTTCACAAATATTTTTTAAATTTATTAGAGAAAATTAATCGAAAAAATTTAGCTACCTTACATATATTTACGTTTTCATTGAAATTATTTAAAAGTTGTATCTTTAATTTAAAATTTATATACGAAAGTATTAAATTAAATTTATATTTCATTTATTTACTTGCTTAAACATTTTCATTTCTTTTATCTTATCGAATTTTTCAAAATACTTATGTCTTTATTATCTTTATTAATTATGAACATATTTATAGTAAATTTGTAGGATGGTTTTAAAGTAAAGTGTAATATATATTTATAGTAGTTCAGAATATAAATATATATATATATATATATATATATATATATATATATATATATATATATATATAATAATTTAGCATATGTTTCTGATCGCTTTTAATATAATTCAATGAATCACATACGCGTACTTATTTTTATAAAAATAAAGGTTTTTGTATACATTTTTTGCATTAAAAAATAAATGACAAAATTTTCCTTATAATTAGAGAAACAGATAAATAATTTCCAATCTATGAATAAACATGAAATCTATTATAGAAAAAATTCGAATGAAAATTTAATAATGTTAGTTGTTGTTTTAAACCGAATTAAATATATTTTAAGATTTCTATAAACAATTCAGATATTATCTGTTTCATAATTGTAACAGCAATTAGTAAGAAAACCAATTCGGACTATCGAATACTTTTATAAAATTTCTCTGTTTCCCATATTTTATTTTTTATCATATTTCGCTCATATTTATTTATTTATAATGAATTGTTTTCAGTCTCTTACGCTATCTGTCAATATTCTTTCTAAAAACAGAGTGGAATTATTTGTAAATATGGAATAAAATTTGGAAAAATCTTTAATAAAATCGATTAATTTTTCAAAAATACTAGAGGTTTAACTATTAAATAAATAAATAATTAACATTCATAAGAATATCAATTATTACTTGATGAACTAAATTACTAATAAATATAATTATATGTAGTCGAAGATATGTCGATAAAAACAATTTATTTATAATTCAATTATATCTATTATAATGAATAAAGTATAATTGCAATTAAACATTAAAAGATTTGTTCATTTAGAAAATCATCCATCTGAAATTCAATTTTAATATTATTGAAATTAATAAACGTAATAGAAATATACATCCACTTTAATAATTTATTACAATATAATTTCTAAAAAGTTTACAAAATGTTATGCTAATATAAAAAAATAGAATTTCAATTTCTAGGAATTGCGAGAAATAGGAACATATTTTTCGAACATTTCATTATAAATTTTGAAAATCCGTCATACTGAATTATTTCAACTATTTGACATATTTGTCAATATATAGTAATTTTTAATAAAGACATATTAAAATAATATCAATCTATTAGCCTAATTTGCGATAGATATTTATTATTTCAAGTTCATAGATTGTATAAGCTATATAATATGTACCAAATAATAATTCAAAATAGACCATCATTTAGTGAAAATACTGTTTTTTAAATTAATTAATTCAATCAATCAGTTAATACTCTCTCGCTAAAATGATAAGCAATTATTCTGGTACTGAAAGTAAATGAGTTCTATTTTCTTAATATTATTGTCACAGTAAATTACGGAAGTACCAATAGTTTTTAGTAGAGTGTAATATGACTTATTCACGTTTAAAACGAAATTATTAAGTCGAGTAAAATATTGCCAGAAATTTAATAAACACTAGTATAAAAATATCACTAGTATAAAATTATTGGAAAAGTGTGAAACTAAAATGTATATATAGAAAAGAATATCAAAGTATTTCACATTATAAATATCTAATTTTTAACATTGCGACAAGTCACACGTGTCTATTACATATTCAGACTAATATAAAATTATATTATTTAATTGTTATTCATTGATCCATAATTTATTACTAATAGAAATAAAATTTTTCTCAATATATATATATATATATATAATATAATATATAATAATATTAAATATCAAGATAATTAGTAATATTTATAGCTCTTATTGATTAATCACTTAATGATATTATTTAATTATCCGATTTAAATTGGATGCTTTTACTCATTATTTGAAGTATTATTTCATGATTGAATTATGTTTAAATCATATAATATTATAAAATCATCAAAAATTTCCTACAAATCAAATAAATCAATCAAATTTTTTTAAGTATCATTATCGAAGATCTTGTTTAAGAAAAATCACTTACAATACAATGAATTATCAATTTCTCCATTTAAGTTATGGATTGAAGTTTCTATTTTGAAAGTCTTGCAGAGAATGCAATCGATGTATTATATACGTGTATTTATTTTATATTCTATACATAATATATACGTAATACATAAAAAACAAAAGCATAATTGCAACAATTTCATGATCATAGTTAATAGATGTAAAAAGGTATAATTTCATAATGGTTTTCAATTAACTCGTAGGAAATTTTTATCATTAAGCTAGACAGTTATTATACATATCGAGATATATCTAAATTTACTTAACTGCATATATATTATTAGAAGTAATAAGGCGATAAATATTAAAATTTTAAATTAGTAATGAAAAATTAGTAGTGAATTTTGTATAGTGATATTTTGTAAATCATAGTACCTACAAGTTTTCAAGTTTCAAAAATTTAATATTTAAAGTTTTTTAAACATATGTAATTGTACATATCAATATATAATTCACAACTATATAGGTGATATAATTATTGAAAATTAAAAATTTTTATATTGAGCAAATTTTGCAAATAACTTTTTAAATTTTATATCTTATATAATTATTTGTTAAAACGATAAATGTTTTTAAATGTTTTAACGTTTTTGACATCCAAAGTCAATTTTGAGTAATATAATAATAGCATTATATTAAAATATTCCTCCACTTTTAATTAGAAATTGTTATAATTTTATTCTTTACCCTCAAACGGCTAGCATATGAAATATTTAAATTAAACTATCATACGTGGATTTCTCAAATTTGGTTTCAGTTAATATATAACAATTACATTAGTTTTCTAAATACTAAAATAGCTATAGAATTACAATTGCAAAGCACTATTTCATTATAAAATGTAAATACAAGGTTTGGCGTGAGTAAGCAGTTGAATTACAACTAATTTTAATAATTTTCTTCTATCTTTTAGTCTGTGTAATGCAGTATGTTAAACAGTTAGTTGTAGTGTTAATTCATTATATTAATATTTTTTTATTAATATTTTTTTTAATTTGTTCTTGAATAGAAACTATATATCTTTTACCGATAATTTTTAGTAATATTAATTAGTCATTTTGGTAAACATTATATTATTTTATATTTATATTTTAAAATAAAACATAGAAAAAAAACATCATATGAATTTAAAGTTTTTAAAAACTTTAAGTTACAATAATCACATGATATTTAAGAAATTTATTTGTCCAATAAAATATTTAAATAACATTGTGTTAGATATTCTACATCATATGAAATTAGTTATTTTATAAAGTAATTAAAATAATTTTTTTTCCTTCTTAAAAGGATATTTAATATGACTTTCCTAATTATATAATAATATAAATTAAATTATTTTAAACTATTATTTTCTCATATATAATATAAAATTTTAATATTTGTCAAAAGTCAGTAACGGAACTTTTTTTCTGTTGTCCTTATAAATAATTATTTAAACTAGTTCATATTTATTTAAAATGTTCAAATTAAGAAGAAAAAATAGAGTAAAGACAAAAGATGCGAGTTTCTAGTTTCTTCTGACTGTAGCACTAAAGTCTACTTAAGACTTACAGAAAAATAACTACACACGAAATACTGAAATGCAGTTTTACAGTGTATAATTGAACAATTATTAATAATACTTAAATATTATAGATTAACGTGTTCGAATAAACGTTTTTATTTTTAAAAATCCCATTACGTAATTATGTGATTACACATTAACTTACACATATAATAATTTGCTATCACATATTTTATAGATCCCACGTTAATCTGCTTAGTTTTATATTTTAGAACATTCTTGTGTAAATGTAATTTTAAAGATTAAGTCATGAATGCATGACAAAGTAAATATGAAATTATTAATAATGGGAATTAAAATTTATCGTTTTTGAAAATTCTTTCTATAATATGGAAAACAAAACAATTATGAAA